GCTGTAATTCAGGGGGTTCTAGAGAAGCTTTACATTTAATTTATCCTTTTCAGACACCTAACCTCACCTTTCACTGCACAGCAATCCAGACCCTGCTCTGCGAAGAGGGGAGGTCTTACCCTTGAAACGTAACACAATGCTTTTCCACTCACCGGCGGTCCAAGCCTAAATAGAGTACTATGGGTTTAGAAAACGTTAAATAAGACTAAAATAATAGTTGGGCTTAACCTCAACCGTGTCGTGGAATGACAGAATTTATGCAGCAAATTCATTTGGTGTCAAATAATGGACTATAAATAATGGACATAAAATTGTAAACAATCAGGGTTACAAAATGAAAGCCAGCTGGTCCTGAACATCTCAACTCCAAAAATCCTGATGGGACTGAAGCTGAAGTTGTTTCAAAAACTTTGCAAACGGAGAGGCTGCATATTCTAAAACCGCGAAAAAAAAAAAAAAGAAAGTGAAAACTCATCAGAGCAAGGCTGGATCTCTCTGGGGAGGAGTGTTAGGGATAACAGGAGATCACAGCTGAAACATGGGCATTTTCTTAACTTACTAAGGGAGGATTTTTTGCTTCCTGAGGCAGATGGCTGCTTTCCTCGTGTTATAGCTGCCAGTTGGGTTAAATGGACAACAATACTCAGATGTTTTGTATTTTTAAATAATTTGTGTGTCTGCTGCTTAGGTCAATTTTATTCAAAAGCACAATTTGAGAATAATTCCAACACCAGTCAGAGAGCTGACGAAAGACTCCTAAGTGTGTCTGGATCTGAGCACAAAGTTACCAGGTAACAGATATGGGATAAGGGCGAGTGATGTGCATGCTTTGAGATGTATTTTATCAGCTAATACCAGAGATCAAAAGAAATTAAACTAAGGGAGTGTTTGCCTGTAAGAATACATCTCTTTAGTGTAAATAATAGGAACTTGTGCTTGAGCTTTTCCCTAACAGCCTGAATTTGTTGCTTGTTAAGTGATGCTACAGGGCTCAAGGCTCCTATTTCATAGAGGGGGGAAATCATACCCTGGGGCTACGGGTTGCATAAAAAATGCCAGATAAAGTAAGGTTCTGCTGCCTCGTTTACGTGGATAGAGGGAGGGTGTTTCCTCAGCTGGATTTACCACAAGAAAAAAGTCTTTACACTTCAATTGCTTTTAGCAAGTTTCCGTGATGTGGAAGAAATGCTGTGAGCGTGCAGTTTCTGCTCGCTGTCCCTGTGTGTCCCCACCACCGCTGCCTCCGGCTCCAGGAGCGGAGAGGTGCCAGCTCTGCCCACGCACAGTCCCTCTGACTCCCGGTACCATCTGCAAACATAAGGTCCATCCTGGGCCTGCCCTTTGGTTATTTTATCACAAATTTTTCTTGCTTTGATTTTGTTTCAGGCAATACAAGAAAGATTACAGGCTTGAGCAGACCAGTGATCCTGTTCCCTGCTGGTCAATACATGTAACTCCCTAGAAAAGAGTATTCTGGGAAAGAAAACTGCAAATGATGCTCTTCCAGATATTTTTGATACTTTCTCTCATCAAGAAAACCACACAGTTAAAGCCTTACCTGTTACTATACATAAATGTCACTAATCTTTTAACTCGAAATAATTATACTTTCAAGATGAGAACGTGCTTGCTCGTTGTTTGGTATTTTAAAATGGTTTCTAATTCTCAGCATGGTTATGTTGTTGAAGATTTATGTGAATGAACTAAATAAAATTGACATTATCAGCTCGCGGTTTGATACGGGCACACAGACTTAAGTCTCTGAATAAAAATAAGTAGTGGCATCACCCGATCCAACAAATGTGTCATGCGAACTGTAACAAATTTCTAAAATTTATACCCTCTATCCAGCTACAAATGATGGTGTTCTTGAACTACGTGTTTTGTAAAAAGAGTATGACGTTTAAAGCAGTATTAGTTTACCGTATCTCTCATGTTTTATGTGATGGAGGGGGAAAAAACCCAGTCTCGCTGTATTAGGTTTCTTTTGGAGATCGTTCCGTAACAACGTTCAAAGCTGATGAAATTGGCTGGCTGCAGGCCCGCTCATTGTTGCAAAGTTTCTGAGGCTCTGTCTCAAAAACGTCTGCAAAACAGACATTGACTTGTTGCGAAACAGACCTCTGACTTGTTGCAAAAGACAGCATTTCAACCCTGAAAGTTAGCAGCTTTTTTGGCACCGTTTCCTACAACGCTTTGCAAACATTGGAAGATGTTTTACAAGTAATGAAGAACTTGGAACAACATGTGGTGCACGGAGGTAACACTTCAGAGGAAACGTACACACAGAAGCCTCTGCCCGGGGAATGCAAGTTGTAGTTTTTGTCTTCAGGTTTTTTTCATAAATTTTAATTCCAAAATTATTTTGTGTTTCAGAATTTCAGTTCCTATGTATCTTTGAACCCATAAATATGCCAGCATTGTAGAAGGTGTAACAAAAGTTGCTTTCTATCCCGCCAATAATCTATAACTGGAAAAAACTTATTATTTTAAAGCAGCGTCCTAAAAGAGAAAGCAATTTCTTGCCAAAGTCAGTAAGATAAAGCAAACTATGTAATTAGAAGCCTGTTTTTTTTTTAAAAGAACTGTGTAGACATGTTGCCAAGATACGTTTGCCTGAATTGCTTGTACTTCCAAGATGCAGATTTGGAGATGCAGATTTGGCTGGACAAATTCCACGACGGACAACGTGGAATTTGGAAACTGGAGGGTGCTTGCTTCGCCACATCATAAACAGGCTTACCAATTTGAAAAGCAGATTATTTCCATTATAAATGAACTTGGTGTTTGAATTACATGTTGTTGATGCTGGGTTTTATCAGTGGACTTACCACTGATATTAAATTAAAATTAAAAATTCCCTGCTTTCAGTTATAGGGTGTCTACGCGTTGCCTCCTCCACCTGCCTGCTAACTGCAGGGATAGCAAAGAGCATCGAAGTCGGGAGCAGTGAGGCGTGGCTGGAGAGCACCTTTCACCTGGTCCCCTCTGCTTTAGGCGAGGCTCAGGTTTGCACAGACCATTCTTTGAGAGCTGCTTTTCTAACCCATCCGCAAAAATCTGCAATGCCTGAGGTTCCCCAAACGCCCCAGGCAGCCTGTTGCCCTTTTAATGCAATTCTCCCTTGCTGCAATGAAGCAGGTTCTGCTAACCTTGATAGACAGGAAGAAAACCAGATGTCAGCCTTCCTCACAGCAGCTTTTTACATAGTTGGGGGTTTCCCCCCCTCTTTCTACAACTTCTTTGCAAAGCTGTTCCTACCCTCTGGACTGCACCCAATTTGTCTACACTGCGTTGAGGTGCCGTGCCCAGAGCTGCCCAGGGGACTGCACCCGCAGCCGCCCCCGGCTGATGGAGCCTCTCGGGTCTTAAAAGAGGCGCTCGCCGGCTGCACCCACGGGGATGTCTGTCTTTTCTGCAGCAGCCCTGTGTCGCTGGTGTGCCTGGTTACCACGAGTCCCAAATCCTTTCCGCAGTGCTTCCTCCCCTGTGCGCACGTGCTTTCCATTCCGCGAGTATGTTCCATTTCACTCTTTTCCACTTGAATTGCGTCTTAATTTGTTGTTTAGTCACTCTCCTCCTGTCCTTTCCAAGCCCCGATTTCCTACGCTCCCTTCCCTTCCTCAAGAAGCTGAAGGCAGACACAGTAACGAATATTTTGCGTTCTGTAATTTCTAATTCCGATGCAGAATACACAGTATATCTCACACTTTTATCTTTTAACCAGCATTGTACCAGTCGGCGGTAGGAGTAAAATTTTTATCTGACTGTAAGCATCTGTCTGCTACTTCTCTCTCTCCTTATTGTCACCTTTAGCTACATTTGCAGTTATCTCCTATGTTGCAGGAATCTTGGAAGAACTACATATTAAAAAGGGGATTTTTCTGCCTCCAGCAGTGTAAGTGGGAGTTTTTCAGGCTGCCACAAAAGCCGTGCAAAAGCAGACCAGAGCCCCTGCGGTCAACTTCTGGCTGATGATTCAGTCACAGCTGACAAGACTCCTGCCACCTCCGGAGATTTGCCTCGTCCCCATAAATTAAACAGGAAAGCTCCGGCTCAGGCTGTGCCCAGCATTGCCTTGTGCCTAAACTTTGCCAGACAGGTAGGTCAAGATCCGCTGCCCACTGCTATGGTTTTTTGTTTCAATGGAGCAAGTGAGTACGGGACCAGCCCTGATGGGCGGTCCCACAGCTCCTATCTCGGGATCCAAAATGGATCATTGCTTTATTTTATTTCATTCTATCTAATTCATTATCTTGGAATAAAAATTCAGAACCGTGTAAACTTAACCTTACTAGTTTCAATTTTCTGGTCTTCCCTCGCTCCTTCCTGTTTCTCTCCCTGCCTTCCTCATTTTTCAGTAACTTATTACCTTCTGTAGAAATTACTGTTTTCTTTCACCATTTTTGTCTGAATTTAGCAGGCAGAGATATCCAGCCACTGTGACACCCCTCCTCCCCGCAAGAATTGATTCCCCCCCCCCCTTCTTCTACAAAACTTCTGCTTTTAGTAAAGGATTTTTTTCCTGGAGAAGGCCTGTCTCTCCCATAAATTTAACAGTAAGTATATTTTCCCTCTATTTTTTTCCTCTTTGATTTTTCCATTGCATTTTTGTTCACCTCTACCTTTGTTCTTTCAATTCAACCTATCACATCTTATGTCATCTCTGTTTTTCCCACTACACTCCTCTTTCCTCGTGTGTGTGCATTCTAGTTTCCCCACACACTGACCTTCTCTCCTTGTCATATAACAGTAGGGAAATTTTCTACTTTGCCATGTGAGACCACAATTGCCTTGCTATGGCTGATTTGATCAAAAGAAAACTCGAAGTAAATAAGAAATCTGCTTATTTTTTGCTTTAGAACTAATAGCTTACACTTTCTTCCAGTACAAAATGAAAATATGAATAAATGGGACATTTCTTGCCCTGAAATATGTACATAGATTCTGTTATGGGAACAGAGGGAAGAATTTTACTGGAAGACGGTACGGCTCTTACACAAAAAAGATACTGTCCAAAAGATAGCTACTATTACTTAAACCTGAGCGCTGTTTGGAACTGTGGTATTCCATTAATTTATAAAGATATGGGCATTCAAAAGTTAAGTTCAAATTAAAATCCTAAAATACAGAAGTCCTGGCTGCTAGCAGTCACCTCGAGTGATGGCACTGCACCAGCCCTCAGCACTGTACAGTCAAGTGGTCAGATGGTTTTAAGTACTACTGAATTATCCTGAAACACGTGCTGGTCTGTCAGCTGCCCTCTTGTGTTGAATTTCAGAATGCATCTGGCGTCCTGGGTTCTGTGAAACCGGAATGAAAACACTGATAGCTGTTGGAATAACAGAACAAGGCATTAAGTACCGATGCTTTTATTTAAATCACTCCTGACAGTCAGTTATTGATTTAAAATGGGATAGAATGTTTCTGTTATGTTTTACAAAGTAACATTTTAAGTCAAAATTTTAAAACTAGTAAATTAATTCAGTAAAATGAGGATCTTTCAGGGGATGAGTGATATCTGTGCACACGAGCAGAATAGCTGTTGAGCACTTAAGATTTGATCAAATGGTGCAGTAAAACTCTCTGTGAGAATCCGTCATATCTTGGCATTGCCAAACGTGGTAAGCTTCTGTATTTTTAATAGTTCTTAAACACTGAAAAATACTATTCTTTCAGACAAATACTCTGTATACCCCTGAATTTGGAGGAAGTTGTAGTTGTTAAAACAGACTGGAAACAATATAGTCCGTGTGAACACCATCTATCAGCCCAGCTCCATTGTTATGAACAAACCAGCAAGGAATATCGATGCCGTGCTTAGGACCTCTTCTGTAATCCTTCTGCCAGCCCCTGAAAGGGAAAATACAGTCATGGAAGTATGGAAGCAGAAACTGCACTTTGACAAGGTAAGCTTTCCCAAGTCTTTGCTAAGGACTTAATTATTTTTTACCTTGTTACTGTCAGTTCATTGTTTTTAACAATCATTGTGGCATCTGGTTTCTTTGGATCAGACCCAGGATGAATTTCAAGTATGGTGAAGTCAATGGGGTGGAAAAACTGTCCTAAAAATAGAAGCCAAAATTACCATTCCAGGCACGTTGCACACATTAAAACAGAAACAAACCAAACAGAAACCCCAGAATTTCTACGTTCCCATGCTGTTTTCCATGTCCCCTCAGGGTTTTGAATGGATAAGCAAACACCAAGTTTTGTGTAAGGTTGAATTTATGCCTATGGTATTAGTTTCTTTTTATAAACCAGAATCCTATGCATATCATCTGGATGTAAGTTCCAACTTCTGAATGCACAGTAAGTCTTTTCTAGATATCCTTCAAGTTATCCTCACTTTGTGTCTTGTCTATTCAGTTGTATTTATCACATACTCTCCAAGTCTTTAGCTTTTTTTTATCAAATAACGCATGTATTGATCTCTGAAATTTTTGCATGTGATTATGGTCAGAACAAGGCTGACATCTAAGGAATTTTTGCTCTCCTGCCAGGATTAGCTTCACACACTTCTGCCCCGTCTGGGCTGGTGCAGGATGCTGCTGGTGCTTTGAGTGCTATAATGAGCACAGATTTTAGATTACTTAGTGAAGTACAGAGGCAAAGTCAAAGATGATGAAAATAGCGATGAGGTGTGTAAGTAAGTCAGTGAACTGTAACATGGTGTACCCATATGTCACGTGGGCTTTTGCAATTTTCTTGCTACTTGCAATT